GCTGCTGCTGCTGCTGCTGTTGCTGCTGCTGCTGCTGCTGCTGCTGCTGCTGCTGCTGCTGTGTTCAGGGGTTCGCTGCTTTATGGTCCGATTTTGTCTCTTCTGCTGTTGAGGCCTACACTGCAGACGACGTGCAGCAGCAGCAGCAGCAGCAGCAGCAGCAACAGCAGCAGCAGCAGCAGCAGCAGCAGCAGTTTCTGCGTCTCCCTGACGTTGATTTGTTTGGTTTGTTTTTGCTGTCGCGGCTGCACAGCAAATGGAAAAAGACAGACGGAGAAGGAGACATCGCACAGGTCTGCTGCTGCTGCTGCTGCTGCTGCTGTTGCTGCTGCTGCTGCTGCTGCTGTTGCTGCTGCTGCTGCTGTTGCTGTTGGTGCTGTTGCTGCTGCTAATGCTGGTGCTGTTGTTGCTGGTGTTGATGCTATTGCTGTTGCTGCTGTTGGTGCTGCTGCTGTTGCTGCTGCTGCTGTTGCTGCTGGTGCTGTTGCTGCTGCTGCTGTTGCTGCTGCTAATGCTGGTGGTGTTGCTGATGCTGGTGCTGTTGCTGCTGCTGTTGCTGCTGTTGCTGCTGCTGCTGTTGCTGCTGTTACTGTTGCTGCTGCTGCTGCTGCTGTTGCTGCTGCTAATGCTGGTGCTGTTGCTGCTGCTGTTGGTGCTGCTGCGGCTGTTGCTAATGCTGCTGCTCCTAATGCTGCTGCTGTTGTTCTTGCTGCTGCTAATGCTGCTGCTACTAATGCTGCTGCTGCTGTTGCTGCTGTTGCTGCTGCTGCTGCTGCTGCTGCTGCTGCAGTTGCTGGAGGAGATTGGGGAGGAGTGGAAGGGCGTCGCCTCCGCCGAGTCTCCGCATCGTGCTTTGCTGCTGCAGCTGCAGCAGCAGCTGCTGCAGGTAATATATCACAGCTCACAGCAGCAGCAGCAGCAGCAGCAGCAGCAGCAGCAGCAGCAGCAGCAGCGGTAGCAGCAACAATAGAAGGAGCAGCAGCAGAAGCACCTAGATGAGGATATGTTTGTATATAGTTGCTGTTGTTTCTGGTTTTGCTGCTGCTGCTGCTGCTGCTGCTGTTGCTGCTTCTGCTGCTGTTGCTGCTGCTGCTGCTGCTGCTGCTGCTGTTGCTGCTGCAGATGCATGAGGCTCTTGCTGCAGCAGGTAAAGTGCATGCGCTGCTGCATGCGCTTCAAGATGTTGCTGCTGCTGCTGCTGCTGGGCATCTGCTGCAGCCGCTGTCGCTGCAGCAGCTGCTGCACCGGCAGCAGCTGCTGCGGCAGCAGCAGCGCTTCGCCTTGCTGCAGAAAACACTGCAGCAGGAGCAGCAGCAGCAGGAGCAGCAGCAGCAAGAGCAGCACCAGCAGGAGCAGCAGCAGCAGGAGCAGCAGCTGCTGCAGCAGCAGCAGCTGTTCCCGCTGCAGGTGAAGCAGCAGCACGAAGGAGAGCCATCAGCTGCTGCTTCTGCTGCTAGGGATGCAAGCCCTAAACCCTAAACCCTAAACCCTAAACCCTAATTCACTGTTTCGCTCAGATGTTTATTGTTGTTGTTAATTAATAAAAAAGTTTTTAGCGTTCAAAATATAAAAATTAAATCCCTAAACCCTAAACCCTAAACCCTAATCGGTGGTTAGAGGGAGGGGGCGCTGCAGGTTCGCAGCACACTGAAAAGCTAGGGTTTAGGGTTTAGGGTTTAGGGTTTAGGGTTTACTGCCACCAAGACAGCATGCCAAGCCCATCAGCATTTGCCTCTCCCTAAAACACAGCAGCAGCAGCAGCAGCAGCAGCAGCAGAGGTTTAGGGTTTAGGGTTTAGATAAGCAAAGAGTCAAGGGTTTAGGGTTTAGGGTTTAGGGTTTGGGGCTCACAATAATAACCATCGGCGGTATATACGTCTCCTCGTTTGCAACAAGAGCATATTTCTTCTGAGCTGCTGCTGCACGCAAACCCTAAACCCTAAACCCTAAACCCTAAACCCTAGACTGGTTGCCTCGTGTCCAGGAGAGCTACTTTCATCAGTGTTTAGGGTTTAGGGTTTAGGGTTTGAAGACGGCTGCACCGCTACAAGGCCCGCAGGCCAAAGCGTACGGTTAGGGTTTAGGGTTTACAATTAGGGTTTAGGGTTTGTAATTAGGGTTTAGGGTTCAGATGAGGGTTTAGGGTTTAGGGTTTAGGGTTTCCTTTTCTAGGGTTTAGTGTAATCCTCTTATACGTCTTTTCTTTTTCAGTATTCAAATCTATATAGAGGGTTTAGGGTTTAGGGTTTATGCTCAAGACCCGAGTGTCTAGGGTTTAGGGTTTAGGGTTTAGGGTTTAGGGTTTAGGGTTTACATACTTTCTTCTTTTGCAAAAACAACATCAGAAACCCTAAAGCGAATGGGGGCCCCCAAATCATAGGTTAGTCGATGCCCCTCAAAACACCAAGACCACACAGCAGCAGCAGCATTTGTTTTTCCTTCTTTCTCTG